TGCAGGTCATGGGGAGGCAGCTGTGCCCCTGCAATCCATGGGGATCCATGGGGAGCAGAGATCCACCTGCAGCCCCTGGAGATCCATAAGGGAGCAGAGATCCACCTGCAGCCCCTGGAGGACCCCACACCTGTGGAAAGTTCATACTGGAGGAGGCTCCTGGCAGGACCTGTGGCCTGTGGAGAGGGGAGCCACACTGCAGCAGGTTTGCTGGCAGGATTTGTCACCCTGTGGGGGACCTGCTCTGGAGCAGTCTGTTCCTGAAGGACTGGGGAAGGGATCCTTGTGGAAGGGATCCACTCTGGAAAAGTTCATGAAGGACTTCAGCCCATGGGTAGCAATCACTTTGGAGAAGACCATGAAGGGCTGTCTCATGTGGGACAGAGCACGTGCTGGAGCAGGGGTAGAGTGCAACAAGGAGGGAGTGGCAGAGATGTGATGAACTGACTGCAGCTGCCATCCCCCCCTTCTCTGTGCTGCTTGCAGTGAGAAAGTAGAGAACTTGGGAGCAAAATTGAGCCCAGGAAAAAGGGAGGGTGTGGGGAAAAGGTTTTTTAAAGTTTAGTTTCAGTTCTCATTATCCTTCCCTGATTTTAATTGGCGACAAATTAAAATAATTTCCCTAAGTTGCAGCTGTTTTACCTGTGATAGTAATTGATGAGTGATATCTCCCTGTCCTTATCTCAACCCCTGATCCTTTCATCATATTTTTGTCAGCCTGTTTAGCCAAGGAATTGAGTGACAGAGTGATTTAGTGGGCATCACAGCTTATTCTTGATATAAGAAACCCAGGTTTTCAGTAACCTGAATTTGTGTTCCCATGTGTCTTCTGCTGTTTCCCCAGGGACTGCAGGAAACACCAACAGAATGCACAGGGACTGAGGGTGTAACATTCTTTATTTCCTTGGCAAATCTGTAATTTTCAACTAGTCCTTGTAACAGAAGATCCAATATAACTATTGCACATATTAAAGAAAAAAAAAAAAAAAAGAAATCTTATATTATTGAAAATTACTCCAAATTTTTTTTTTAATTTATCTTGTGAAAACAAGCAAAATTTGTGTCTTGCACACCAGGAATAGAAACAGTATTAAAGTATTTGTCCATATGTTACCAGGCAGTTTGACCTGATGGGATTTTTTGTTCCATATGAAGATGGTCTATACATCTTAGCAAATTGTGTTTTGAGAAGTGAAAGGGAAGGAAAATTGCTCCTTTTGAGCAGTACGGGCTATCACAACATCTAATGAAGTGGATATTGGTTTCTCATTCTCCACAGCATGACCTCCCATGGTTTTCTGACCCACAGGTCCCATCTGCTAGCAGCAAACTGTCACAACTACAGGGATGGACATACAGTGATCACTACTCTCACTGCTTCTGCCAGTTTTGGATATCTGGCATAGCATACCAACAAAGCTGTTCCTCTCTGTCCAAACCTTTCCAGTATGTTGCTGTGCTCTTGGGAAATTTCTTTGAATCCTGCAGTCTTGTTTCAGGTGATTCATTCTCTGAATCATTGCTCATTTGTTTTAGGAAATAGTAGTAAAAGTTGTAACTGAGGAAGGGTTTACTTTTAGCTACAGTTCTTGCAGAAGTAGAAGCTTTGAAATCCAGACTGCTATTCCCTGCTTCTCATACATTCCCCAGTTTCTGTTTTGACTTCTTTTGAGCCCAAAACTGAAAGCTGAATTCTTTTCAACCTTTGGCACTTAATAAAAGCTAAAAAGTTGCTGAAAATGAGAGAGAAGAGAATTTTCATTCATCTTTCCCCAAATAACTATGCCGTTGAAGTGCATTCTTTGCCTATTATCTTTTTCATGTCACAATTTTTGAGTCTTTTTTATAAAAATTTTTTCCAGTTTGTCTTGCAATCTTTTGGAGTACCTCTGATTAAGGGAAAGTTTGCTGGGAGAACAGCCATTTTCTGCATCTCTTGCCATTGAAGCATATCAGTACCTGCCTCGCTTGGCAAAAGTGCTTGTCTCTTGACCAGAATTTCAAGTAAAAAAATTTTGTCTGGATGAGAGGACACAGCAGGGCTTAATTAAGTATATATGTGATTAATGAAGAAATACTCGGCAAAAAAACCACAGAAGCTAAAATGGTGAGATTATTCCTTCAGTGAAGATTTTCTTGTCTGTTGTTTTTTGGGAATAACACTTGTTTTAGTTCTCAGTTATTCCAGTTTCAGGCAAAATTTGGTATTATTTCACTTCAGGTGAAGCAAGTGTAAGAAATTAATTAGCATAAGGCTAAAGATATATCAAAGGCTAAAGTGATGGGGAATGGCTAGAAAGTGAAGGTTCCTGTCTTCAGTCACAGCAGATAATTTTACACTGAAGGAGAACACCTGCCAAGTCCATGTCAGCATGGTACTAGTGCTGGTTCTTAGGGTTGTTTATAATAATGTGAAGTCAATTTGAAGCTCACTTTGTGCTTGTAGGTTACAGATGCTCCTTTTTTCTGCATGCCTTTTGAAAAATTGGGTGTTATTTAAGGTTACTGGTCTAGCATGAGTAGGAAGATACAAAGTTATGGGTACTTATTTAAAATTGATCTCTGTGGGGCAGAGCTCCTGTAGTTGTGTGATTACCAACACAGTGTCGCTTTATGGCAGTTCCCCTGTATGAAGTGTTCTCCTGGGTGCCCTGTGTTTCCTGCACATAAATTCTAGAATTTCATATTTCTTGTAAGAAACAGTAGAGGGGACAAGAGGCTGGATGGAGACAAGACTTTGAGAGAGAAAAGAAAATTATGTGAGCAAGTGCTCTCTTGGTCTTCTTTTATCCTGGGTCTGCTAAGGGCTTTAAACTAAGTGCAAATTGAGAGTGGAGGGTGTATGGCAGTTCTCAGGACCAGGCATGACTTAGAGTAAACCACCCAGGCCTGTGTGTAAATACAGAGTGTGATTAAGCCATTGGAAATACATTTCCTGTGCAGAACATCATGAATTCTATGCTCCAGCCTATGCTTCTTACACCTTTCTCTTGTGTTTCTGCAACTTGTTCATTTAAAACGGAAGTTTTTCACAGCAGGAGACTGCTTCTTGATGCATTCCCAGAGCATCTAATTCAGTACAGCACCCGTGTTAATAGCAGCTCTGGCATTCTTGTCACACCAGCTGGTCATAGAAGGATTCTTCCAGCTGCTTCTTCCCAATTAAGTTAAAAATAGGTGAAAGGGGCCTGTGATTGTAGTTCATCTCACTTCATTCTATTTACTTTTTTAATTTTCTTAAGCCTGCTATTTGGTAAGTGAAGAAGAGTTTAATTCTGAATCTCTTCATAGTGTATTTAATTTTTGTTTACTATTTGCTTTGGAGAGATGAAGGAAAATGAAACTAATAAGTATAGAGAATTATGAACTTGCATAGAGATCTGAGCTAATCTGATGGGGGTTGGCATGAGACAGGAGTGGCAGGAAGTAAATAACAAAAACAAACAAATAAACAAACAAAGATAAGGCATTATTAATGGAGAGTGCATGCAGTTCTGAATAATTTAAGTTAAAAAAATTATACATAAACAAGGCAGAAAATAGTAGGGAGGAAGCGTTACCCATTTTTATACAGAGAATTAATTACTCCTCTAAGAGACTGGTTTAGACATGCAAAATGTACTTTTTATTAAGTTCTGGTTATGGCATGGACCAGCAAGAATCTTCTTTCTTCTGGTACAAAGACAGGAGTATTTCAAATGCAGCCTTTGTGTCCTGTGTGCCACCAATGGACAAAATGGGTTTTTTCAATCCACTGAAATACAGGAACATGGAGGAGAATTGAGTACTGAAATTAAGGTACAATGAATTATTTTCCATTCATTTAAGGCACATTTTGTAAGTAGAGCTATTTATGGGGGTTTCTTTGACTGAGAACAGAGATTATAATAATCTAAAAATAATTACCTTGTGAGAAAAGCAGGAACAAATTAATCTCAATTCTGCGTTTGATCCTTGTTCAATAGGTAATAGAGTGATAAAACTGGTGTGAAAAAACCCTGCAGTAGTGTGTCAAGCTGGCTTTTTATTTCATTGTAGATAACTGTAAGGGATAATATTTGAAACTAGATGACAAACATTATCACATATCATTTAGCAATGGAGAAGTAAGATGGGATCAAAGCTGGAAAATTGAAGTCCTTAGGAACAGTAAGAAAAGAGAAGAATTCAGAAGAACTCTGGGTTCCTTAGAGCAGGTCAGCTCTTGTTGTAAAGAGATCCAACACTTCATTACATTACAAAGCATGTGCTAAAGTCTGTGTGTCTGGAGAATAGGTTACAAGTCTCAGCCTTTTCTTGTTCACTGTCATAGGAACTCAATCTATCATTAGAAAGCCCAGCTTGTGCTGCCAGTGATGTACTCTCTTGTCTTTGGCATCATTTTATAGCTAGCTACTCAGCTTGGTACAATGATAGGAGCTTCAGCAAACAAGCTTGAAGTTAGTGTTTTATTTACCCTGGGTTACATTTAGTAGGTTTTGGGGATTTAGAGTTTAGTTCACTCTGATTTTAAGGCAGTTGTTCCCACCATTGTACATGCATTTTCTCCATAGAGGAGCAAAACATGCTCAAATACTGGAGGACAGGCATTTTCTTTATGCATTGCTGGCAATGCTGAGGTAGTTTGGGAAGCTCACAAATTATTTTTAAAACTTCAGCGGTGAATAATTGACACGGTATGATGCTGTTTGGACAAGCACTACCACATTTTGTCACTCCATGTTGTTTCAAATTGGCTGTTCTCATTGTGCTTTAGCACAATCATGTAATCAATCTAATTGGTTATATGATCATCATCTAGATATATGACCTTGTTAAATTCTTCCCCAACAGATTAAATTGCTAGGCAATTAACAGGACTTGAAGCTTTCCAGAATCTTCATACTGTCTACCCGTGCACAAGAATAAGTGAATTTAAGTAATGAAAAACCACATTTCTCAGTTTTGTGTAAATTTATTTTTCTATATGTTTCATGTTATTATTTTCTTCCCCTTTTTAGGTACTACATAGAAATGGCTTTATGGATCTGGACACTGACGATCTTGAGCTGTTTTTGCATCACCTTATCCAGAAATGAGGAACTGAAATTTTTTCAGAGTGCTACAGAGCTAAATCATCTAACAGTGGATAATGACACTGGGATAATCTATTTGGGAGTGGTAAATGCGCTGTATCAGCTTACAGAAAACCTGGAAGTAATTAGATCTGTAGAAACAGGTCCAAGAAAGGACAACAAAAAATGCACACCTCCCATTGATGAAAATCAATGTAAAGAGGCCGTACTGACTGACAATTATAACAAATTACTGTTGCTGAACAAAGTGGATAATACAACTGTGGTATGTGGAAGCCTTTTTAAGGGAATCTGTGCCATCAGAGATCTACAAAACATTAGTGATGAGAAGTACTACGTAGACAGTAGTGGAGAAAAGTCCTTTGTAGCAAGCAATGATGAGAATGTATCGACTGTGGGACTGATCACTTCCTTGAATAATGACCGAGTGCTGTTTGTTGGGAAAGGGAATGGACCAAATGACAATGGGATCATAATCAGCACTCGGCAGCTTTATGCCAGGGATGGGAAAGACATTTTTGAAATGTATACAGACTCAGCAGCTGTTAAGTCAGCTTATCACTCATCAAGCACACAACAATTTGTGGCAGTTTTTGAGGATAAAAATTATGTTTATTTTATTTTTAATCAACAAGAGAAACAACCTGTCAACAACCGCACACTGATTGCACGTCTGTGCAAGGACGATGCCCATTATTATTCCTACTTTGAAATGGACTTGGGTTGCAAAGATGATGATGGTGCCTATGACCACTGTCATTCTGCTTACGTCACTACCCCTGGAAAAGAACTGGCTGAGAGCATGGCTCAGCAGGGACAACCTGCAGATACTCCCTCAGATGACAAAGTTCTTCTTGCACTCTTCAGCAAAGTAAACAAAGATGACGGCTCTCTAAAATCTGCCATGTGTGTGTTTTCCTTGCGGCAGATCAATGAAAAGATGGAAAAGAACCGGAATGATTGCTACACTAAAAAGAATACCAGCTCATTTTACAAACTTTTTTCAGCAGAAAACCCGTGTGCATTACATGGACTGGTAATATGAATAATATAGTTATTAGTTTTAGAATCTGTGTTAGAGTTTGTGGAAAATATACATGTTTTAGGTGGCTTTGAGCTAAACTGTATTAAGATGACTGAAAACTCAATAGATGGATTCACTATAGAAATGGAATGTGGGGGGTTGTGGACCAGGCTAAGTAAGAAATGACAAAATTTTGAGTCTCTTAGGAAGGATTTGATGTTTTTTCAAAGATAAGTGTTGCTTTCCTAAATGCATTTCTTTTAAAGGGCTCCTTCTGGTATAGGAGTTATTGAGACAAATGCAGGGATTTTTTACATCCATGATCAGCTTTCAGGTGATCACTGCAGACAATTGTAGTTTCAATGGGTGTTTTTACAACGTGTTTAAATGGTATTAAGAATCTTTTAGATGGTATCTGTAATTCAGCTTTTTTTCTCACTTGTATTTGTATTGTTAGACAACTGAAATACCCAGATTTCCTGTATTCAGGTGGTGTTCATATTTTGGTGTGGCTCAAAATACTTGTATAGCATGACAGCCATCTTCTTATGGCCAGTCATTACTTTGACTATAAGGTTTTTGAAGAGTACTGTTACAACTGCTCAGTTACTGTTCTTCAATCTACGGCTGTATCTGAGAGGCAATTTTGAGCATTTCAGTTGGCTTTGTGATTGTTTTGCTCACATCACTCTATTCCCAAGCCCCACTTGTGCACACCACTCATTCATTACTGCAGCCAACCCTAAACTGGGTTGAGAAATTGAATCATCTTAAAAGTAACTGCTTTTAAGAAGATGTCTTAATTTCTCAGCCTAAGCAAGGTGCACACTTGCATAAGCAGCTATGTGAGCACAACTTAAGGAGTGGTGTGCTATAGTCCAGGGAGAGGAGTGAACAGCTGAAGAGATGGAGCATGGGAATACCTTTTTTTGGTATTGACCCATAATCCTTCACCTTGTGAGACTGAAGCCATCTCCCACACAGTAAGTCACTAGCGCTGATGAGTCAAAATTACACATTTTGCTTCGAACCACCAGTGTTACTTTTTGCAGTACCCTGCATCAAACACAGAAATCCTGAATGTGACGAGTGGCCATGGCTCCTGACAAAAATAAGGTGTAGATTTCAGATCAGAAACATGGTTTTGTTACCAAATATAGCAGGAAAGGCAAGGTGTGAATGAACTTTCTTCTGGTATCTCTTGCTGCCGCTCAAGATTAAAGCGTAGTGAAGAGGGAATGTTTTGAAGTTCATGAGACAGTTACCAGGGAGTTGCTTTTTTATGGATTGCAGCAAAGTACAGCAATTAAAAAAGCAGTCTTCAAGGCAAAGTTGGTTAAACCAGTCTCTATGACGTGTTCATTTTGATTAAACCAACTGGTTAATTTTTAAACTGCTGCTATGATGAAGCAGGAAAAAAAAAAAATTCTCTCCCTGTATCTCCTGGAAAGTGAAAGCATGAAAGCAGTTCTCAATTAGCAGGCTGCTGTCTGATTACTGCCTGTTGGCTGGGGGCAAATGCCCAGACAATCCATTTCTCTCCTCCTACTCTTCAGTGTCTGAGGGGTATTATATTGTCTAGTAATAGGGCTGCACTTCATTCCTAGCTAGGAATTAGTGATCTGAATGTTTAACATCAGTCTGTATTGCTATTCCTTATTAGAATGCAAGCAAAAATTTCCCCTGTGGCTCCGAACACTTGCCGTACCTTTTGGGAAGCAGGAATGGAGTTGTAGAGAAGGCAGCGCTGCAGAAAGAAGGGATGAATCTCACGGCCGTCACGGTGGCTGTGGAGAACGGGCACACCGTGGCCTTTCTGGGAACGTCGGATGGTAAAATCCTTAAGGTAACAAACTCAGTTAGAAGACTGGAAAGTGTATATGTAAAAGGTTTTGAACTAAAAGTCAGAATGGGATTTATAAGATATCATACTGGGACCAAATTCTCATGGAGCTTGGTTATTTTCATCTCAAAGGAAAGACGCATTATTTCTGATGTACCTCAGCTATGTGATACACAGATTGAATTAGCATTGCCCAAATGACACTTTTCCTGAAGGATTACATACCTACTGGGAGCTTTATATAAACAGCCTTAGGTAATCTAACAACTTTAGCCTTATCTCTATTCAAGCTCATACTGGTTTAAGAGCAACTTTTCATTTTATAGTCATTCTGGCCATTCAGTGAATAGAGGTGGCAGTACAAAGCCCAAGCTTAAGCTCTGATAAATTCTGGTTGTGTGGTGCTCAAGGCTTCACATGTTTGTGGTGTTAAAATATCAAAACTGCAACCAAACACCTTCTTTTGCTTGAAGGAGAGTGATGTCCATGTCCAACCTTAAACTTAGCACTGCCAAGTCCCACCAAACCACATGGAAAGTCATATGGGTGTGGTGCTTAGAGACATGATTTAGTGGTGGACATGGTGATGCTAGTTTAGTGGTTGGACTCTGTGATCTTGGTGGCCTTAGTGATTCTGTGAGTCTATGTCCCTAAGTGACACATCTCTATCTCTGTTAAATACCTTCAGGGATGATGACTTAACCAGTTGCCTGGGCAGTCTGTCCCAATGGTCAACAAACCTTCCTGGGAAGAAGTATTTCCTAATATCTAATTTGAACCTCCCCTGGCACAAATTGAGGCTTTTCACTTTCTCCCTCTTGCTTGCTAGTTGTGAGAAAAGACCACCTCACACCTCACTACAACCTCCTTTTTGGTAGTTGTAGAGAGTGTTAAGGTCTCCTGAGCCTCTGTTTCTCCAGACTGAACACCCTCAGCCACTCCTCATCAGACATGTACTCCAGACCCTTCACCAGCCTTGTTGCCCTTCTCTGAATACTCTCCAGCACCTCAACGTCTTTCTTGAAGATTTGCCTTAGTCCTCCTTTGTTCTTAATATATTTTTAGAAACATTTTTATTGTCTTTTACATCAGTAGACAGATAATTGTGGGGGAAAGCAACATTAACCACCTTTTTTTTTTCTTCCACAAAATAGGTCTTTCTGTCATCCACTGCAACTGAGTACAGCTCTCTTACCATTGAACCAAACAAACCTGTAAAGAAGGACCTGGTCCTTGATCAAACCCAGGAAAATCTGTATGTGATGACCACAGACAAGGTAACATGTCCTGCTTGCATTAAGGACCCAGTCCTCTTTCACTTTCTCTGCAACTTAACCTGAGATTTATACATTTTCCAGTTGTTCCTGGAAATTGTCCTGTTTGATGGGACTCCCCCTACTCTGTGTGTATATGTATGTGTTTCTCAAGTCTAAGCTGATGGACTTGTTGTGACTTGGAGAATCGTTGTGTCCGTGATGCTTAGTGACAGGGAATGGGAAGTGAGTTCCCCCTCTGGAACTGTCATACAGGCTCTGTGAGAGGGAAGTGGAGATGTTTGGCACCAGCATACCTCAGGGTCAGGCAGCCCTAGCACTCAGTGTGGGATGTGTGGGGTACCAGTGGATGCTGTACAGGGAATGGGAAGTGAGTTCCCCCTCTGGAGCTGTCATACAGGCTCTGTGAGAGGGATGAAGTGGAGATGTTTGGCACCAGCACACCTCAGGGTCAGGCAGCCCTAGCACTGAGTGTGGGATGTGTGGGGTACCAGTGGGTGCTGTGGCTGCCATCAGATCCTTTCAAGATCTCTCTGAGATCTTGCTCTCACTGACACGTCTGTAAAGCCACCAGTAGTTATTGTGAGTCTTAGTGTCAAAACTAAGAAGCAATGGAGAGAATTATTATATTTGGGAAACACTTTCATTCAAGCTTCTGCTAGAACTGAATACAGTAGGAAAAGTCGAAGTTCACTAGGAAAGGCATGGGCAATCTCTCCTAGGCCCCTTCTTTTTGCTGTAAGGGGAAGGCACAATCTAGGTCTGTAAAAAATAGGGGGGAAAAAAAGCAAGTAGGAAATGAGAGGGATGCCAGATTCTCCTCCACCCCCAGGGGTAATCCTCTTCTGACACTTTTCTTTGTGGAGGCTGGAGCTGCCAGCTTCAAACACTTTGTTCAGCAGCTTTCCAGGACAAGGTGGGTGACAGGCTGTGACCATCTGCAGCCCTGCCAGTGACATGAAATGCAACGTGGAAATGCTCCGCACCACTAATACTGGGAGAATGAGGGGGCTCTGAAAGGAGAGTATTTGGGAAGACAGTGCAAGAAAAATGTTTTCTGGCTTCTTTATAAAAGGATTAATATAAATTTCTGCTGCGGGAATGTTATAGCCTAGCTGAAGGTTTTTAAGCTAGAAAAAACATTGGAAAAAATGCCAGAAAAACAACTGATAAAGAATTTAATAATAAGCGTGAGAGAGAGGTTAGTTTTTGGGTTTTTTTTTTTGAGTCGTTGTTACTTCTCATTTGGCTTCTGTTTGGATTTGAACACAGCTCCAAGCTTCAACATTGTCCACAAAACTCTGGGTGGCCTGGCCCCCCGTTTGACAAGCTGGCACATTATGTAAAACGCTGAGGTCCACACCAGGCTACTGTGTGTGCTGCGGAGCAATGTAAGGGACAGCAGCAACACTGAAGGAAGACAAGCTTTCTGACAGTCAGCTTAAAATGGTAAAATTTAGAAAGATAGCAGACTACTTTTTTTTTTCAGAGAAAACCTGCAAAAAAAATCAATCACTACAAAACATTTAAATTTAGAATACAGCAAATTTCTGCTGAAGAAAGGATTTTACTTAAATCTTTTCTAAGTAGCTCTCCTAGACACTGCAGTTTCTGAATACTGTGAATAATAGTTTTCTTTTACAAAACCTGTTTAGCTTAAATATGAATAGCTAAAGTTAGGAGCTCTGTAATGGCATTGCGTTACTGTCATCTCCAGGAGTTAATTACAGTGAGCAGTCCCACCCCCTTTTAGAATCAGATAGACAGGAGGAGAATGGAGGCCTTCGGAGCTGGGAGAAACAAGGTGACATAAGCAAGGGAGGAAGAATAAAAGATGAAATATGTACTTCTGGGTTAGGCATGGCTGTGGGTTGTGGGAATAGACATATCAGAACCTTCATTTGTGTGTTTTAATTGTTAAAGGTAAACAATAAGGAACAACTGGCTGCACTGGCAGGCATGCATGCTACTGAGCTACCTGGCAGATGCAGCCTGCCCCAGCATTTAGAAATTAATTGCTTGGGCTCTGTGAGCACTTGAACAAAGTGCAAGTAGTGATGTGGTAGGTGATAGCTTCTTTAAAAAGAAATCAGAGAAACACAGGAAAAACAATACAGAGGTTAAGATCCATAGTGAGAATCAAGCTCTTGCTTTCCTGTTTCCCCTTTCTCCCCTTTTTTCTCCTGGCTTCTCTTGTGGTGCCAAGAGCAGTGGGGGATTTTGAGCAAATGCTTTCAGCAGTCAGTCCCTCTGCTCCTAAAGTTTGAACAGACAGCAGGAGAAACCCCTTGCAGCATCTTGTGGGACTTGGATAGGAGCTTAGCACCCCTGTGCTGCTCATGCTGGTTCATTCCAAGTGTTCATCACTGGTAGGATCCCAGATTCCTTAAGGTAGTTAATGTATTTGGAGGAAAGCAGTCACTGTGGCAGTCACTTACCATAATCAAGCTTGTTTGCTTGTTTTAGTTTTTAGCACTTTTTGATTTAGAGTGCCAACTCAAAAAGCTCTAAAATTAATTTATTAGCATTTTGTAATTGGCTGTTAAAGGAGCTGGTTTTTTGGGTTTGGTTTTGGTTTGGTGGGTTTTTTTGTCATTAAGGTCACACAAAACTTGCAGAGATGGCAATCTCTAGGGCTTGTTTATGCCTGCCAGAACTGTGAAACAAATATTTTGTCAAATAAAAAAAATCATTGACTGGATATTAATTTATTTATGGGTACCAGTTAGTGAATGAGTGCCAGTGATGCAGCTCCAGTTAGCTAAAAAGAAGAGAATGCTGAAAAGGTAAACCCTGTATTAATAAATGCAAGAAAATTGCACAATATTGACATTTTCCTTAACTGAGTCATTTTCTTTAACTCTTCAAATGTGAAGGAAAGGCCAAACTCAGACTGTCAAAGTAACTTCGTAATTGCCATGAGATGGGACTGGCATATTAAAATTAGACTATAAATCCTACATCTCAGAGTTTCTTTTTCTACACTTTTTGTGCTCTTTAAAAATAAAATGTAGTCATAAACTGGAAGATGTATGTCCTGTTTTCCTCTTGCATCATTGCAGCAGCATAGCTAAAAGGAATGGGTCTTCTTTCTGTGAGCCAAAGAAAACATTGTTTATTCTCCGCACCAAAGGAAATCAAAACTAGAAGCTGTATATTTACTGGGGGAATGAGACATGAGAACTGATGATGGTCTTTTTCCTGCTGCTTCCTGTCATAATTATTTCCATTTTATTTAGTGAATGTATTCCATGATGGAAGGTTATGCTTGGAGAAGTGCAGTAACCCAAAATGCCCTGGCTCTCTCACGCTTGCAGACTTTCTGAAATACCTTCTGGCTGGAAGTGCATTTCCAAACAATTTCACCTCCATGGTAGTGATAGGGAGAGGAGAATATTCTCTTTAAAGAATGATCTAGTCAGTACCAAGTTAGTCTTTTGAAAGTATCCACCCTGCAGTAGCTGTTTCTTGAATTCAGAGCATTGCTGATGCAGTTTCTGTCCTGAGGTGCAGATTTCCACAAGTAATATAACGGGAGGAACTGAAAAGCTCAATTTTTGTAAAGCTTGCTCATAATTCTTGATTATAACAATGTCCTACTTTGCTTTGAAGACAGATTAGATAATACTGGAATGGAGGAAAAAAAGCAGAAAAAAGTATGTGAATTTAGACTTTATTAAGGGGGAAAAGAACAGACTGGTTTTATATGTATTTTGTGAAAATCAGGCTGAGCTCTGAGTATAATGATACAGCTGCCACAGGCAATGACGCTGTACAGCTAAGTCCACCAATTTTTTCCACCTCCTTATGCCATCTTCAGTTGTTAGGTTTGCCTTGCTTTTGGTTTTCCAGGTGTACCGATTGCCTGTGCAGGACTGCCACAAGTACTCGGACTGCGAGAAGTGCGCGCAGGCCAGGGACCCGTACTGCGGCTGGTGCGTCAGGGAGGGCAGGTGAGTGAGTGTGCCAGCTCAGGTGAGAGAGTGTGCCAGCTCAGGTGAGTGAGTGTGCCAGCTCAGGTGAGTGTGCCAGCTCAGGTGAGTGTGCCACTGTGCCCAGAGCAGGCACTGCAGCTGCTGGGCTCCCGACCTGTGCTCTGCCTGACTGCTTGGCAAGGCATCCCAGCTCTTCCTACCCAGCCTGATGCTCCTGACAGTCATTTAATTTTATCTCGCAGACATTGGTATCAATAGTCTGTGCACACAAAAAAGTCCCCGTTGACTTTTTCAGATTTGATTAGTTTGGGAAAATATATACTTCTCTGCTGGTACTGACAATGATTATGCATCTTCTAACTGTATGTTTTATCACTATTTCAATTGTACAGTCACGTGGTCTCCCAGAAAATAAAAAAAAAAGCTCCTTATTTCAGATTCAGAAATAATAGCATGTATTTTAAGTACATCAGTAAAGTGTAAAAAAGAACATAAAAGAAAAAAAGTGCTCATGTCTAAAACAGAGTGTATAGCTCAAATGCTGGTTTTACATAATCATCTATCAAGACGTGTAGCTACAGGGAACCCTCACCTGCCTGTAGGAGAGCAGAAAGTGACATTTTGCTGACTATCTGCAGAGGTTCACTGAATGAATATTCAAGCACATGTAAACTAGGACAGCACTGAACAGCCCTGGAATGTCTCTTCTTTACACTCTGCATTGATTAGAGTGCCGAGAGGGAAGAACAGTCCTGCAGTTCTCTTTTTGACTACTAAGTTAATTAACCCCTTGGCATGAGTGGTTGGGAATTCGTGATTCTAACTTCTTGCTGTTGGAACAAAGGGGTTGTTTAATTATAATATGCAGATGAATTTCAGGCTTCTAGTTTCCTGCCTGAAAATGTGAACTATCACATTATGTTACCTATCAGTCTGATGTAGCATAATATAGAGCACTGCAGAGAAACTTATGTGGTGTGTGCAGGTTTGTGTAATATACTGTAACTCCTCCAGCCTGGGGTTTCAGTTGCTGTGGATGAAACCTGAGAATTTGGAATGTAACCTCAAACTCCTCCTGGGCTGCTGGGAGTTGAAAGCTTTGGCATATATCATAAAAAAGGCAATTTTCCTTAGATTTCCCTTCAGGTTTCTGATATGACCACTGACCTCAATATCACAAAATATTAATGGTTTCTGAGAACAGGCAAACATGAATTTTCACATTTGCTAATATTATTTCCAAAGGGGAGAAAAAAAGTGCTTCATTTCTATGTTTCAGTTCTGTCTCATGATTACACACAGCACTCAGTAGAGTGTTTAGGGATATGTTATATGAATGTTTACTCTGTATGTAAATGATTTGTTTAAAGGAGGTTTGACAGTGCTGTGCAACAGCTGCACTGCATTAAAGCCCCTGATGAGTTAATAGTCAACTTTCTGCTGCAGCAGACAGAGATCCTACAGCATTTTCTTTTAAACTTTCACAGAATGGAAAGAATACACATGAGACTATCTCCACCTCAACAAGTTTTTGTAGCCACATGCAGCTTCTGTATTGCAGCATTTCTTCCTGTACTTGAGCTGGGAAAATCTTCCGGTGTTTTTGGTGAGGCTGCACAACTGCTCTGGTGTTCCATAATTGTAACACTGCCTTGGCAGAAAGAGGTTTTAAATAGTGGCAGTTGTTAATGAAAACATTCCCTGCAAAATAACAGTTTTAGCACTGGGGTTACACAGAAGTCATCCACAAGCTTGTATCCCCCAGCAGTATTTCTCTGTTGCATCTTGCTCTCTTGAGTTCTATGTCTTATCAGTGGCAACACATAGGTGTCTGCCATTTGACCTGCAGGAAAAAACAGTCTGTGCCCTCTCATTCAGGATGTTGTTACATATTGCAATGAAGATTATCAGCTTGATTTCAGATGTCTCCACTGCCCCATGGTTCCTATGCTGTCACTGCCTGGATTTGGGTTGTCTGATTCAAGGTGCTGTCCAAAATAGTATAGGCACGTGCTCTTGACATGTCAAACCATTAATTGTAATTGCACCACTTAGTCTGTTAAAAATTCTCTAATAGCAACCCCACTAGTCAATATTAAAGCAAATTTGTAGTCATCTTGTGTTGTAATTTCAGTCTCTAATCATGAAATTGTTGCATAATTCAGAGAAAGCAGAGTCAGCTATAATACTGCTTTGGGTTTTGTTCCTTTTTTTTTCAGATGCACAAAGAAGGCAGACTGTGGTACAGCTGATATGGAGAACCACTGGCTGTGGAGTCCAAGTGGCACATGTGTGACTATCATTAGTGCAGACCCTCTAAATATGAGTCGCAGAGCTCCTGCTAAGGTATAACAGGAAGATGATTTCCATAAATATTCTTTAAGCGCATTGATGTGACTACCAGAAAAATGAATATCTGATTTCTTTATGCACAGGGGAGACAAGGAATAGGTTTTGTTATCTCAGTCTCTGTCATTTCTCACAGTGCTCTTTCTTGCCTGCTGTTCTTGCAGGTTGAGTTCACGGTTTTGACCTCTGTAAACCAAAGTGATGCACTGGTATGGATGATAAAGCACTTACACTTACCTGAATATTATGAAAGTGTTGCACAGTGTTGTATAACCCATAAAAAGTAATTGGTAGGGGAGATTTCATGCTGCCCTTTCAGCTTACTTGAGCATGAACTTAAGTAAGCAGTGAAGCCATAAGCTGTTGCTTTAAAATCAGCAGTGAATTTGCCTACACAGCAGATACATGGGGAAGGTAAATTCAGCATGCAAAATGACTCTGTGACAACAAAACTGCAAAACTGAGTTTTTGGAGTGTTGTTAGGGTGTCTTATCTTGCTCTAATTCCAAATGGGGCATGCCAATGCAGACTGAGTGCTTCCTGGGGGTGTTCAGCAAGTAAAATCAATAAAATGGCTTTTAATTCCTCTTAATCAGAAATAAAGAAACTTTCTTTCAAGTCACTTCAATTCCATTTCTCATTTATGTAAACAGTATTGTGTTAAGGCCATTTCTGTGCTGAATAAAAATATTAGTAGAGTATAACTGCTTTCAGTGAGAAAGGGATAATTGTCTTTTCTACTGGCAATACAAAATGGAAAAAGTTAAACTGTATAATTAACACACTTGAAACATTAAGTCAGGAACAAGATCCCAAATTTCAGCTGAATTGTTTTCTTTTTTCTTTTTAAGTTTTTGCATCTTATTTAGTAATTTTTAGTTTCTCAAATGCTTTCTTTCTTTGAGGAAGATAAGATATCATAACCACTCATAAATCCTTTCTCAGTATCAGATTTCTTGCATTTGCATGGAGTCTTGAGGAAGCCACTTTTCTGTTCATCCGTTTCAAACTCCACGATTTCCAGCCTATCTAGCTCTGTTTTCATTATTCACTAACACCTAAGGTTAATTAATTAATTTTGTCAGGGTTTAAGTGTTATCCGGGGTTAAGTGTTGCTAAAGTGGATGCTGAGGACAAGAATAAAAGGTTTGGGGTGTGTCTGTACAGAAAATTTTGTTCTGGTCTGATGCATTGACAGGACAAGAGGTTTTTGTATCAGCCTGATTCAATAAAGACCCAGCCTGGAAAGACTGGTAGGGGTTTAATGAAAAAAGATTAACAGATGGGAAGAAGTAAAAATTGAAAAAGAAAGCCATGATCTGTGATGCTAGCTAAAATATCACCTTTGAAATTGAAATTTTCCAAGTCTTACTGGGTCTTAGCTCATTTCTTCCAAATATTTTACCATTTTAAAATTTTATTTCCAGGTGGAACTGACTGTAAGTCCACTGCCAACTTTGACTGAGAATGACAAGGTTTGCTGTACCTTTGGTGAAACAGTGCATTCTGCTGAGTTGAAAGAAGGGGTTATTATCTGTGATCCCCCTGATATAATTCCTCCAACACCAAAACATCAAGGTAAAGAAATACTGCTACCCTAAATGGATAATAAAAGAACATAGACTGCTGTTTCCATTGCTATGCTCTTATATGAGGTGCCTACAAAATGGGTGTTTTTCCTCTTCCAGCCCTTTTCCCCAAATAGTCTGTTGTTGAACTGTCACTTTGCTCAAACTTTTTCTGTTGATATATTTACAAGCTGTAGCATTCCCAGTGTTTCTGCTGGGAACCTGAAAGAGTAGCTTGGTAGAGACATAGACATGGAGTCAGAGGGGCTATTCTTTGTCCCAAACAAACAAAACCCAGTTACCCTAATCTAAGCCTAAGCACTCTGACTTGTGGGGACAGAATAGATTTATACCTGCTTCAGCTATGAAGGGATTCATGCCTGACTTCTTAGTTTTGCTCCAGTCAACAATACTTCAGTGGCTTTTTTTCTAGTTAATGTTAAAAGGCTATCCTTTCTAGCATACAGCCTTTGCCTCTTCTTCTGTGTGTCCTCCAACTTCTGCAGCAGTAAGCCTGATGGAAATATACTTCATCATATAATTAAAGACTGCACCATTGTTCTGAAGCACTGATTATAGGCCTGAGGTCTGTTGCCAGCCATAATTCTGTGCAGTTTCCTAGACAGTGCTTTGTTCATGCCATAGTTCATACATCTTGATGCATAAACACATGGAATGAAACTCATTACACAACACTGTTTATTATGTATCAAGTTTAAAAATCTGAAGAGAAATTACAAGCAAAAAACATGTGCTCTTACAGCTTGCAGACATACCCCTGAGGATAAGTCTTTTATATGTATTATAACAGTCATGAACTGTCAAAGTGGTACTTGGAAGCACTTTTTAAGATAAGTTTCAATTCTCTTAAGGCTGAAACAGGTAAAATTCTAATTTTAGTGCAGGGAGAGTAATTACATTAAAATCTCATTATTGAATTTTACACTAGCTGGCGTATGTCATAGTATCAGATTCTGCTAAGTGTTAAAGCAGCACTCTGTTATTTAAGGCCAATTCACATTCCCTTAATATTTTGTAAAGCGGGACATAAAGCAGTGGGGTTGATAAATGTGATATCTTGATATAATCCAGCATTAAATGTAAGACTAGAAGCCTGTCAGAGAAGGCATTAGAGTAAACAAGTAATCTAGAAATAATATGGCTCTCTGAGTTGGTTGCACATCTGAAAGAATGTTCAAAAGTAATATTAGGGTGCTCAGAAAATCATCAGACACCAGGAGAAGGCAGGCAGCTGCAAGCATTCACAGAACCACAGAATCACAGCATAAGAGACCTGGGAAGGTTACCTAGTATAACCCCTCTGCTAAAGCAGGTTTGCCTAAAGCAGATTGCACAGCATCTCATCCAGGTGGGTTTTGAATGTCTCCAGAGGAGGAGACTTCACAACCTCTCTGGGCAGCCTTTTCCAGTGCTCTGTCACCCTCAAAATAAAGGTGTTTGTCTTCCTATTCAGATGGACCCTCCTGTGTCTCACTTTGTTGTTCCGTGTGAACAGTCTGGCCCCATCCTTTTGACACCTGCCCTTAAGATATTTGTATGCATGGTATTTGTATATACTCCAGGCAGTCCTGAGACATCCAGTTACTGTTAAGAAGCCCTATTGGTGCTGGAAAAGTCTGGCTTGCGGTTGGTTGGTTCCAAAAGGAATTTCTAGGAAGGATGCCTTTTCTCAGTCGTGTTGTTAGGAAATCCCCTGCCATTGCTGTGAGTCTGAAATATTCAAGGGGACCCAGTGCAGGCAGAGGTAACTTCCAGCCAAGCAGCTGATGGTCTTCCAAGAACCTGTTCAAGGAAAGCAGAGTTTGAAATTGCTCAATAGCTTGTGAAATAGCTTGTCATAAGGGCTTAATGATTTCTGCAAAAGGTATTTCAAACAGTTTCACTCTTTAGTAATAATCCAGACAAGAAGTACATTTGTGGAGAAATCATGTATGGCAAACTGAAGCTCACAAGTGCGTGTGGTAACTGTTGCAGGTGCTGTTGGGCATTAACCACAAAGATCACTTGCTTGAATTCACATAACATTTTTAATTCACAAATGAAAGTAATTTTACATGCAGACATATTCATATTTAAGAAAATGTTTTATTTAAAATTACTGTTCTTGTGCCAGTTTTCATCTGTGTTCAATTATGTCTTTAATCAGTTTTCCTTGTTCTTCTAGACTCTTTAGAAATGTAGCATGATGATAGCACCACTGAAAAATACTTCCATAAAACAGAGCCATTCTTTAATTTTGCTTCTTCCCTTTTTTCTCTCTCTGCTTTTCTTCTGAGAATCGTGTGCTGAAAAATTTTGTAAAGCTTAAAAGGACAAAACAGAACTTACAGGCTTTAAGTCATGAGATCCAGAGTGTTAACAATATAGTTAAATATTTGCTTATGTCCTGTAAAATAATAAAACTGTTATCATTGTATCATTCAGCTCAAGAGCTGAAGAATTCAACAACCACTTGGATTTTTTTTTTTCTTTTGTGATAGATCATGTTTCAGTTCCACTTCAGTTAACCTTTGAAAAGAACAAGATTTTTTTTGCATCACATACTTACCCTTTTTATGACTGTGAAGAAGCAATGAATCTTATTGAAAATCAGCCGTAAGTATTTCAGCTTCTTAAATGTTTAGATTCTGTAGCTTGGTGTGTTAGGTAACTGGCACCTGAATTACTCAATCATTTCATAATTAAGCCTTTGGCACTCAAAATTTGCCAGTGTCCAAATCCTTTTTCTTACATTTTAATGGAGTTTAAAAATGGTTGAAGGGCACCTGGTGAGCCAGCAACATTAAGCATGGAATAGAAATACTCATGGCACATATAATTAAGGTCAGTTCATTGTGTTGCCATTTCTGTAGCTGCTAATGTGTCTGCAGGTGAGCAACATGGACATCTGTGTGTCTGCTTGTTCCCTGTAACAAGAGTATTTTGGTGCTTTGGGTTGCAGTGCCTTCAAATAGGGCAGGTGCAGCCAGCCCAAACCCTTTGTTCATCCCTATGTATGAAGGTTGATCAAAATCACTTCCAGGCCTCTCAGGCTTGATCTCAAAGCTTTTGCAAATGCTATGGTTTTCTGATCCCTGCTCAAATATTTATTTAAGGGATAAAAATAGCTTTTTGGGATACTTGAACTGTTCTTGTGAAATTTTGAGCTTAATATAGTAAGGACATTCTAACAGACTGATCTGCCCTCTATGAATATATATGGAATTTCGTTTACTTTTCTTGTCAGTGGGGGAAAAATCCTGACAATTTGTCATGACTACCATGTTATATTTGTAGATGCTATTCCTGTGCAAGCAATAGATGGAATTGCCAGTGGGACTGGAAGAGACATATCTGTGAAGAGTCCTCTTCAGTACAAGATGTGATTAAACAAAATATGGTAATGTTTAAAAATAACATTATTAGTTTTTTATTAGAACACTTCAATATTTTGTTTGCTGGATCTCTCATCTCAATTGGTTGAATTAGAGATTTGAAAATGATTCTAAAGTTCACTCCAGAAGTGTGAGATGGTTTTTTTTTAGTGTCAGTGCGGGGGTGGGAATTTAAGGGTGTGATTGAGGCGGGGCAGTGAGACTGAATAACTCCTGAAAGGATATTTCTGTTCCTTTTACTATGTTGCTTCAATGGGAGGAACGAGACTTCAAGGCAGGGAGAGATAATCACCCACAGCTTTGACATACACTGCAGTCATTTTTAGCATGTCTAATTTGAAAGGGTGTAATCAAATCTGTCACTGTATTTTAAGCATGAAGTTCTTCAGAACAATCATTCTATTGTCCAAAGGCCATTGGAGCTTGTTGTGATAAGATTTTTATTTGTAATAACATATAAAATGTATCTCTCTCCAGGAAGGAGAATGCCCACAGTTTCTGAACCCTGACCCTTCAATAATACCTATGGAGTACCAGACAACTGTGTTTTTTGAGGGAAAACATCTAGATTATTACCAGGTAAGCAGATTAATTCAATGCTAGCTGTCATTTGAATGCCTCTTAAACTGCATCCACACCCCTAAACTAAAGCATTGGTTCATGTGCCTTGGAGATCCTGCTGGTAATTTAAAGAAAGACAAGGGCTGCATATTCAAGTTTGATATACTTTTGGTTACTGTGGTAGAGTCATCACCAAGAGAGAATCAGAGCTCGAGAAAATACCCTAACTATTAAAATGAGGGGGCATTTTAAAGAATGTAAAAATGTAAAATATTAAACACTGGACAATTATTTTTTCATGTAATGAAATGAGAGGAGATGTAGGAATTGTGGATGTTTTACATCTTTTTCTAATTAAATACTTGGTGGGTTTTGTTGCTATTGTTCTAGAATGACATCACTCTGTGTGCTTAATTCAGTTTTCACCTTCCAAACACAAAAATGCACTCAGACACTAAATATTTCTCACTTTGGATAACATAATCTTTTGCTTGTGTGTGTGTGTGTGTGACCATCAAACCAGAAGATCAGGTATTTTCTCACCCATAGCAAAGGCCTCTCTTTCTTAATACTTGCTTCCAGAAAATAAATTACAAAGTCTCTAAGTCAAATAGACCCCAGGGTTTTAATTCCGTTATAGTGTAGACGATGCAGAAAATGTTATTTTTAGTTGTATAAAAATGAAGCTTAAAGACCATTTTTAGGTGAAAGCTCAAGTATTGTTATCAGTTTCTATTCTTTGTTTCTGTGTTGTCTTTGCGTAAATGGGAATTGATGATAGATGCACTGAGGAGTGCATCGATTTCTTTTACTACTGGCCATCTATCAAGGGAACGAAAGCTCTTCTTTCTGAGGGATTTTTTTTCCATTTTCAAATTGGAATGCTGTATAGCTTCTAAATTCCTTCTATCACCTTTGCTGTTCCTGCCAAGGGATGGGAAAGGGTCAACAGGCCTGAAGAGTAGCAATGTGAGAAGGGTATTCAGAGAAGTGCAAATAGCAACCTGTAAGCACCATATAAAGACCATGATGTGTGTCACTACTATAAACATATATGAAAACTGTGCTATAGAAATGTGTTCAAAAATAAGCATTTTTGTTTGAAGACCTTAAAATATATGCAGACAGTGAAATGCAAATTTGGTGAATTTGGTCTGTTCTCCAAGATGCCAGAACTGGTCCCTGGAAGGATGTCTGGCTGTGTGCAACGTGTGGCATACAACACTTCTCCTACACCCACAGCTAATTGAAAAGTATTCTAGAGATTGTACTTTTCCTTAACATTGGGAAGAGCTGTTTTTCTGCCCAAGAGGAAAATAATTTCCTGCTCCCTTTTTATAATTGGAAGAGCACTTTCTCTCTCTAGAGAAGTTCAGGGCAGATGCATAATCTAGATGTGCTGAATTTGACTTCTAGTGAACCCTTGTCCTCCAAGGAGAAACAGCAGCAGGAATGCAAAAACTACTTTATCTAGTTTATTATTCTATGAATAAGCGCTTTAATCTTTCTGAACTACTAGTAACAAAAAGAGAATGGAGAAAAGGCTGCTGGGTTTTTTTAATTCTGTGAGATAGCAATTGCATTTAACAAGTGCAAAGACACATCCTGTGGATTGAATGCTTTGTCATAGGTAGCAATGTTTAACAGTTTGCCTACAGAATGTGTTTATTTAACTTGGAACTAGGAAGGCTTATGAGGAGTTCAAGTCTCTGTAGGAAGTCAAGGTGAATGCATAGTCCCAAAACTGGAAAGATGCTGGAGAGCAGTGAGTGTCAAATGATGTCAGGGTAATTTTTCTTGGGTGGGAACAATGTGAAAATGTCATCTCTGTCATGGGGTCAGCTCCACATATCCTGGTACAGAGGTGCATTTTTAAGTCAAAACAAGAGTGCCTTTAGTGACAGGACTTCAACAAACACACACAGTGACTACAGCTGTATACACAGCCCTTTAATATATGTGATAATAGACAAATAAGGCATGAAATAGTTGCAATCATACAGGCACTCATGCCTGTGGGATCATGCTATCTGAAGCAGTAACTTTGATGACTGAAAGTTCATTTGAATGAAAGGCATAACTTACACTCAGTCTTTGGTAAACATTTCATGGAAAACAGGATGGCTCAGGAGAAGCCATGGATGGATATTTTGTAGGGATTGGCCCACAGCCTAAATGCTAAATAGCATTTGGCTTCTCATGTGGAACAATTTTGCCACAGGATATGCTGGGCATTACAGCATCTTTGAAGCTAGCAGTCATGCAGCTATGAGCACATTTAAGGTCTTTATTGGTTAGGACGTTAGTGTATTCATTTTCCTCGCCTAAATTCTTGATTAGAAAAAGCAAAAAATTAATGTTGTATTGTCGCTTTGTTGTCACTGGTTCTATTATCTTGGTTTAATCTGTGCTTTACTTAAAGGGGTGTTGCACACCCAGCTTTGCTATAGGTGACTACACGCACTATCCAGCACTGTGCATATAAGCATCTCCATCTCTAGGAGGAGAAGAACATTAAAAGGCTTATTTAGTGAGTAGGAGAGGTAAATGGCTTTAAAAACTGCTGGATTATATCAAGAATTATTTCTATACTGGAAATATAGAAACTGCTAAACTTCCACTGAGGGTGGAAGTACAGACTCACAGGTTTTGTATGCTCCTGTAAACTTATAAATGCTTAAAGTCTAAAGACTGAGTCTCCTTATGATAGCTTCCACTGGAGGGAAATAGCCTACAAGAGGAGGAGCTGTTGACTGCTCTTCTGCCCCTCCTTCCTCTGAAAGAGTTTCCGTAGGAAGGAGAGAGAAATCCAAGCTGTTGTCATTCTTGTGGGAATAGCGCCATCCAGGACAGGCAGAGGGAGGGAAGTTTAGCACTGATCAGTCATATTGCATGCAATTTCTGAGAGGCATTCTCCAGCTGAGTCCTTGAAAGATTGGCACAGTAGGAGAGACAGATGTACCGGCATCAAGATAACCTTATTAGCCCGCCAAAGCTTTTTGTTAAAAGTAATTTCCCATTTGGATTTGTCATTGTCATGTGTGTCTGATGTGTAACCTGCTTCCTAGTGTTTGCTACACATCTCTTGCCCCAAAACTACTGACTGTGAGCTCTGCTGCCTTCTGCTCAAGAGCCTGGTAAGCAGCTCCTGATTTCAATGCACTCCAGGTATCAGCTGTCACACACACCAAAGCTCTCCTCCTCTCCCAGGGCCTGCTGTTAAGCATGTGGGAAAGCCTTACACAAGAGCAGCAGAATTTGAACACTTTTGAAAAACACGTTATATTAAAATATGGGAGGCAAGAAAAACAAGGGAACATTCCTATTAAAAAATATTTGTAAAGAGATGGTTTAAAATTTGGACTACGTAGATGTTTCCTGTAAGGCAGAATGGGCTGTAAATTTTCAGACAAGGCTTTTCAGAGATTCAGTCAGTAGGTAAATTTCTATATCTAGCTTCGTAGAAGGAAGAAGTAAAATACTTGTTTTCCTCTATAAAATAACCACCCAGAGCCTCAAGTATGTTTTAACCTTTATCAGGTTAAAACACACTGTCCTCCTCAGCCCCAAACCTTGGTGGGCTCATGTCCACTGCCCAACCTGTCACAGTGAAGGTGCAGGAGGAAAGCTTTCCACTGCATTAATTAGATAAACCTAGTGACCCCGAAGGTACCTGTGTTTCCAACATGGAAGAAGTAGCTACAAAAAAAAAAAGGATAAGAAGCTCATACACAAGACTTAGATGATAGCAGGAGAAAATGTACTTAACCTTTGGAGCAGGAAAGAGGAATCAAGTAACCATTATGTTCTGGCCATGTGCACTCCAGACTCAGATGGCTCTGATCAATAGCAGGCACGAGTTCTTTACATTCACAGTGAAGTTCTCAAGTTCAGCAAGGTGACTCAGAAGGTCCTGCACTTGGGTCAATGCAGAGTGGGGGTCGAATGGATTGAGAGTAGCCTTGTGGAGAAGGACTTGAGAATGAAACATTAGATGTGAGCTGGCAATGTGCACTTGTAGCCTGAAAAACCTATAGTGTCTTGGGTTGCATCAAAAGAAGTGTGACCAGCAGGTCAAGGGAGCTGATCTATCTTCCTCCATTCCACTCTCCTGAAACTTCAGCTGGAGTACAGCATCCAGCTCTGGGGTTCCCAGTACAAGAAAGATGTGGACCTGTTGGAATGGAGTGGAATGGAGAGAAGAGACATGGAAATGATCAGAGAGAAGGTGAGAGCTGGAGCTCCTCTTCTATGAAGAAAACCTGACAGAGTTGAGGTGGTTCAGCCTGGAGGAGGCTCCTGAGAGACATTTTTGTGGACTTTCAATATATAAAGAGGGCTTATAAGAAAGATGGAGAGAGACATATTACCAGGTCCTGTAGGGTCAGAGAAAAGGGCAACATTTTTTTAAAGTGAGAGAGGGTAATTTAAGAGAGATTAAGGAAGAAATCTTTTGTAATGAGGATGGTGAGAGACTGGAACAGGTTGCCCAAGAAACTTCTGTGTACCCCATCCCTAGAAGTGTTCAAAGCCAGGTTGTATGGAGCTTCGAACAACCTGGTCTAGGGAAAGATGTCCCTGCCTATGTCAGGACTGTTGGACTAGATGGTCTTTGAAGGTCCTTTTCAACCCAAACCATTTTGTGATTCTGTAAAGGTGAAGGTTGTCTTGTCCCTAAGTGAGTTGTGATTTCGTAAGTCTTTACCAGCATTGGTGTTGGTAGTGTTGAAAATATCCTTGCTACTCACTTCTTTCTAATATTCTTCTGGCAAAGCTGTTTGCATGTCTGTCCTATGGGCAGGAGAATGACCCAGCTCAGAAACAATATCATGGGATCAGGTTTTTAGCCAGCCAAGTTCCTTGACTGAATCACACAGCAGGCAAGCTGAGAGTTTTGTCAGTGCAGTGAAAGTCAATGTGTGCTACAGACTTAAGACAGGAATCAATAGATTTAGGATCTAGGGAGAAGAGAGGGGAAGATGTCTAGGAGGTAGTAACACCCTTAAATTAGTGCTGCCATTGAAGCCTGTCCTGTGAAAATACACGGTAAGGCAGGAAAAAGGCAGCAAGAGCTGAGAGATAGTCATTCCAGTTTCCCATGCAACTCTTGCATGGGAAACTCTGCCCAGAATCCCTACAGAGAAAACCTTTAAGGGCAGAACTCACACAGCTCTGTTAATAACACATCTGATGTGTGAAGCCATCCAGTATTCACATCTCTCAGCTTTTTCTTATTGCTCCCTAAAACAGAGTGCTATATATGATCTTGCTTTCCTTGAACTTCTTGGTGTGCCTACCATGAATGAATGTTGGAGGAGTGCAGCAAAGTCACAGATTGCTCTGGCTCAGCTTCTCTCTAGCATTCCTTTAGAAGATGACTGTAACCAGTTAACCTTCTCCATTTGGATTTGATTACTTCCAGTGCTGAACAGGATATCGCATGGTGATATTTTACTATGCTTGGTGATTCTGTACAAATTCTAAACTGCAATTTTCTCATCCTTAGGGTAAAACATTTCTGGTTGGAAACAGCCAATTTGAATTTGAAACTTCTGTTGATGAGTCAGATGAAGGAAAATTTTCATTCGTGAGTAAAGAGGTAAATGTGAAAATATTATTCACCTACCAAATATGCTCAGTTATTCTTCTAAACTGTTCCACTAGCCACATGTGTCCAGAATTACACAGGTAATATGTGTTTCCCTCAGAAAAGAAAGTAACTTCTGATGGAGATTCTCCTTTGGCAGTAGTAGTCAAAGGCTACAGTTTTGGCTCAGAGCTCCTGATGTCTCCCCTCAAAGCCCCCAGTCTTTCTCTTAGATTTCTCTACCTGTGTAACCCATGGAATTATTGAACTGTCTCTGGAGGAATTTGAGACTGTTGTATTCTTCACCTTTTATGCAATCTAGTGAAACCATTGAGGATAAAATGCAAGAATTTCAGTGCTCTCCCTCTCCACATTCCAGTTCATTATCTTTACCATTTTGTATCTGTAAAAAATAGGAATGATAAGAATGGTAACAATATGCTGTTGCTTGGCTACCTAGTAGTTATGCTTCTTTCACTCTTGCTTGTTATATTGCGAAAGGAAATAATACTTCAAAAATTATCTATTTTCTAACCTCCAAGTTTGACTCACAAATGTTATGCTGACTTTATATCTCACAAGCTCACTAACTAGTTTTGAGAATTAATGAGCATTTATGCATCATCTGTGCCTAGCACAAAGCATTTGCTTTATCAAGCGTCTGTATTTTTATTCGTTCTTCTTGTTTCCCAACAATTGTCATTGCTGCTCTTTCAGCATGAGCAGAAGCTCATGTCTTGGAGCATGTGAACCTTGTGATTTGGCTGTAAAATGAGGAGGCTGCACTGTAAAAGATGCAAGAGATTTCCTCTCCATGTGGTGTGAGTCTGCTGTGCCCACAGAAGTAATGGGGCCAGATGGTGTGGGAAGGAAGAACTCAGCAGGGTCAGCGGCTATACTTACTGCCTCTGAACAGCACTTTTGCTGCTTTGATACTTATAACCAAATGTAAATTAAATTAATGAAAAGAGAGTATTCAGATATTGCTGTCCCTTGGTACTTGAAAATTCTGATTGTGAAGGATTAGGTTCATTAAAGCATTTTTCTATAAATGTATCTGCCCAAGATGAAAAAAGGCCATAAGGCTTGGGAGAGTTTCTAAAACCTTCACAGGTCTGATTATTGAGAATCATAGGAAATGCATGAAATTAACCTTGCCAAATGAAGATATAAATATCTCTATTATGTCATCTTTTCTAGTTTTCTTATAGTGCAAATGAGACCCTACAGCTTAACTTATCCATAAAAACAGGGAAGGTCAAGATTGACAGCAAACTGATGGGTAAGTATGAAATATGGGATTAAAGGGAGATTAATTACAGTAAGCAGAAATCAATTCCTTCATAATTTGGAGTCTTGTTGTAAGCGTTTGTAGCTTTACTGGTTTGCGTGAAACAATTAAATCTGACAGATCAAAAGTTATTAATGTTAAGCTAATGCATGAAACATCTGTGTTGTCAGCAAGTTTGCCATTGACACCAACCAAGCTGTGTGGTGCAGTGACATGCTGGAGAGAAGGGACAGCATCCAGAGGGACTTTGATGGGCATGAGAGGTGGGCCTGTGCTCATGAGGGTCAACAAGGGAAGTGCAGGGTCCTGCATGTGGGCTGGGGAAATCCCAAACACAAATACAACTGCAATATGAAGGGATTGAGAGCAGTCCTACAGGGCGTGACAAGCTGGACCCAGCAATGTGTGGGTGCAGCCCAGAAAGCCCAGTCATATCCTGGGCTGGATCAAAAGCAGCATGGCCAGCAGGGTGAGGGAGGGGATTCTCTCCCTCTACTCCACTCTCATGACACCCCCCCTAGAGTGCTGCACCCAGCTCTGGGCCTGCCACATAAGAACGACATCATGGACCTGTTGGAATGACTACAGAGTAGGAAGGGCCACAAAGATGATCAGAGGGCTGGAGCACCTCTCCTATGAGGAAAGGCTGAGAGAGTTGGAGTTGTTCAGCCTGGAGAAGAGAAGGTTGCAGGGAGACCTTATTGCAACTGTTCAGTACTTAAAGGTTGCTTATAAAACTTTTTTTGCAGGGACTGTTGTGATAGAACAAGGGGTAATGAATGGTTTTACACTGGAAGAGGGCAGATTTAGTCTAGATATCAGGAGGAAGCTTTTTTAAAAGGAGGCTGGTGAAACAGTGGCACAGGTTGCTGTGCTCATTTCAGCTGGGGTAGAGTTAGTTTTCTTCACAGTGGCTGATACAGGGCTATGTTGTGGATACCAGAGAGATGGTAGATGCCCTGTACCTGGAAACATTGGGGTTCAGGCTGGATGGGCCTCTGTATAGAATCACAGAATTACAGAATATCCTGAGTTGGAAGGGACCCACAAGGATCATCAAGTCTAACTGCTGGCTGTACACAGGACAATCTCAAAAATCACTTGATCTAGCTGAAGATGTCCCTGCTCATTGCAGAAATTTGGACTAGGTGACCTTTAAATGTCTCTTCCAACCCAAAGTGTGCTGATTTTATGATTCTATAATTTTCAAGAGTGCTTTTGCTCTGAAGTGCAATCCTAATAGCAAAGCTTCCCAGTCCATACTTAAGTATGAAAATTAAACACTTAAGCATTTTGATTTTTTTCTTTCAATGATCTTTTCCTTTCCTCAATGAACTTTCCTCATCAAACAGCAGAAAGAGGATCCTTGTCACAGCCACTCATATGGACTTTACCTGAAATCTCATCTCTTAGCTGTGTCTCAGTTCAGACAGGTTCTGCAGTCCCTATGTTAGCTGGCAATCAAAAAACCACAGAGTCATTCAGTGTGTTTTCAGCTCATTACTCTATTCATTTATTTCTATTAAAAAATAAATTAAAAGTTATAGCACAAAGACTTGATCCCTGATAAAAATCTCTTTATAAATATAAATTTCATTTCTTTTCAACATACAATAATGAAGCAATGAAGCCTAGTCCTGAGGTAAGAAGGCTCCTTTAACATCAATGGAGCAGTGTAAGGGACCTACCTTACATGCCTTTGGGCTGAAATTTAAGGCAGAATATTGCAAAACCTATGAGGCAACCCTCTTGTTATTTGCATGATGGGACAGCATCAGGAAAATACTAGTACCCCAAGTAATTTCCACTGCAGAATAAATCTTCAGACCATTTTTCCAGCTGTACAATATTTAAATTTATTCCCTTTCATATTGGCAGCATGAACTATGTTTTTAGAAGATTTTCCTTATGGTTCTGTGTGCAGTGTTAAAAGACTTAAAAGAGGACCTGGCACGAATTTTATAGGGAGGTCATATTACAATCTCACACTGTCTTAATTTCCATTCCAGAGGTTGTCATGTTTAAAACTGCAGCATTTTGACCAAATATTCCCAACATATTTTTTCCAAGTCAGGAAAAAGCATTAAAAACAAAACAAAAAAGTAGCCAAATTATTCAAGAAATATTATCATTCAAATTGAAATATAGAAAACTTCCAAGAGGGGACTTGAAAAATTATCAACAGATGTCTCTTTTTAGTATAAAAGGGATTTTTTTTAAAATCCAAATTCTTTCTGACTTTCAGACTCCTTTGCCATATGAAATCCAGACGTAATGTGTTTTTATGCATCTTGAAAAGAATTGGCTTTGGGTATATGGCTGCTGCAGAGAAGCACCTTTGAACCTGCCACTGAAAGAACCCTTTCTTTGTAGGACACTTAGTGAATACTAAGTTATGACAGCATTTTTACATCTCGAGCCATCAGGGGTTCTGAACAGTGTGAAATCCAATATATCCCTTTTATCCTTTGTCCTTTTATCGATGATATCACAGCTGGTATCTCAAGGTGATGGATAAGAGTCTGAATCTAATGAGTAGCTTGCTGCTGGTACAAATAATGAGCTGATCAGTGAACGAGAGGAGCAGTTAATGCTTTGAGGCCGTGGCTTTCTTCATTACATTTATGCAACTGGATGTGAGGGACATCAAGACTTTGCAGTGCTGACATTGTTACTGAGGGGTGGAATAAGAATCCCTGTCCTGCCAATGAAGGATAATAAAGTAAACATATTCCCATGCTGTACCTGGTGGCCATGCGGTCGTCTGGGTGGGAAATGCGAGGTTTGGGAAGCCAAGGGGAAGATTTGCTCAACAATATTTCTTGTTCAAGTGTCTGTGCAGTAGCAGTCTTTCAGAGAGCTGGAATAAGAAAACAATCTGGTTCCTATGAAAGCGATTCCCAGCGAGGAAATTTTTCCTTGCCACTGTCCACAAAGCAAAGAGCAGCATACATGGGCTGTCAGTCTAGTGCTTTTCCCCAGCACTATACCCACAAAACAACATAAAGAGTGGATAACTGACACACAAACTGCAGGAAATATTACTTGGCTTATGTTTGTTGCTCAGTGCCTTCCATATTGATGTGCTCAGTTTATGAAGCAAATGATGCTACTCCTGCTTTGTGCTCATCAGTTCTTGGAAGTTCAAGATAGAGATTGAATCAAATGGATGTTCTTTCTCATTGATTCATTTTTACAAATGCAAAAGTCCCTCAGTTTTGCTTGCACCTCTAATGTTTCTTCAGCTGATTTTGTGCTTGTAAAGCTACTTGAAATCAAGTGGATATGCTGACTATAGGTAAGAAAGGGTTAAAATCAGGCTGCATCATTGCATTAACTCTTCATTGTAAGGGAAAGAAAAAAACCTGTTATTATCTTAAAGACTAGCTGTGAAACTGAATGCTGAGGGCTTTAAACATCCAGCACTTAGAGAAAAACTGCCTGTATGGGATTACATGTCCTCCTGCAAGTGGCAGAGGCTAGCCAAGATTTGGTCATCTGCAATATTGTTCATGCCTAGCAGAAGGCCACTGCTGAAAAAATAATGGAAAACTAGCATTCTTATTTTACTTTTCATTTCACTAGAAATCTGACATGGTAGTCTCTTGGAATTAGATTTCAAGAGCTGCTACTGTTATCTAGGAAGATAGCAAGTGTATGGCAATGCTACTTACTGGATGGTGGTTTTGCCAGTCTCCTTTGTAGAGTCCTGCTCCTCTGAGAGTAAAAGCTTGTTTTAAATAGATGTTTTTAATGGTCTTTACTATATGCATCTCAAAAGGGTTTACTTTTGTCCACATCTTTTTACTTTCCTTTATTTCCTTCATCTTTAAGTATGAACCTTATTTGAAAAAAAAAATCCAGTCACTAAGGCTACTGTTTCTTGGGACTTAATGAAGGGAAGGGAAAGATGTTGAGACTCTGTCTTGTATACCCCATTCCCATCTGAAAGCATATTTAACTCTTGAAAGAGCACAGGAGGAAACCTAAAAAGCTTTCTACTGTTCTGCTAAGTTAAGTTGATTTACAAGACTCAAAAGGTGGCAGAGGGTGAGAGGCTGTGTGGCCAGCAATGCAGGGCAGCAAAGAGTGGAGAGAAGCAGGAGAAAAAGGAGCAGAAAAGCAAGCAAGATGTCAAGATGTTTTCCTCTTTACAATAATCATCTCACCTGCCCAGGAGGCACAGCACTCCCATGCTGGGTAATCTGGGCAACTTGCACACTTTCCCTGGAGAAACATGTGGTGTCTTTTCAGTCTGTTTTCTTCTGGGCTAGTTCTCAAGTGCATCTCCATATGGTTTTTTTTTTGCAAGCCCAGGCTCTCCTTATGGTGTTGAACCACCAAAATATGTCTCAAGGCTTTGCATCTATTTGGGAAAATTAGTTTGATTCAGTGACTGTGCATCATGCTAGAGATTGATGGGGGCCAAAACAAGCTTAGTGTCTGGGACAGTTGGTCTCTGCTTCATCAGTAAGAGAGATACAACTATCAGACTTGATTTCTTGGCTCAGAAAAGCTAGAACTAAGTCCCACTACAAAAGGAACAAGGTGTACATCAGAATGACAGCTCAAGACAAAAGGGAAAACAAAAGCAAGAAAATAGAGAAGAATGAAGAAACACAGAGGTATTAACTTGAACAACGGTTAACATTTTATTAAGTGTTAACTTTCTATTTGGTTCAGGCATGAGTGATAATTATGGAAAGTCCCAAATGTCCTGGAAACAGCCTACAAAGGCAGCTCTCTTCCTTTAATCCTGAAACTGGCAGAGGTCCCATGCCAGCTGATGTCCACCCCTACTGACACACATGCAGAGTCTATACTTTCCATATCTGACTTGGGATGCTCCAGGAGGACCTGATTTTTGAATTAATCTTTAAACAATTGTATGTGTTATTGAGGTTAGTCAAAGTAAGGACTTTGTACTTCAATGTTTTGACAGGGCCTGAGTGACAAAAATATGTTTGCAGAGTAGTCATACTCTGCACATGGATAAATGTCAGGTTTTTCCACAGAGGAAAAATAAAATTTTCTCTCAACATCACTGAGGAGTTAAGTACAGACTGTACATATTACTCATGTGGCTCCACTGAACTTTATACAGAGGGTTGCTTTTCCTTCCTAAAGGACACTGAATATCCTTGAATGAGAGAGAAACATCTAAATATGTTTGCTGTTCATCTTTCAGTGACTCTGTACAACTGCTCCTACGGACGAAGCGACTGCAGCTTGTGCCTTGCTGCCCCACCTGAATATAAGTGTGTCTGGTGTGAAGAGGAGGGCAAGCCCAGCAAGTGCGTTTATGAAAAACTCTGTCACACTGCCCCCACCGACACGTGTCCTCCTCCAGAAATCACTCGTGTAAGATTGCTTTTATTCTCTCCCTACCACCATCATATTTTTCAGGAGAAAGCAGCCGAGCAAGCTCGTAGTGAAAGGCAGTTTTTTCCTGGGGTGTTAAGTAAGCCTCTGAAATAGCTGAAAGGAAATAATGTCGGTAGTGATGTGTGTGAGAGATTTGTAAAGACTCAAAATAAGAGACTGAATGGACTCTTTGAGCCTCCTTGTTTCTCAAGCCTTGTCCTCGCTCTATCAGAAGCCAGGGCAGCAGTGCATGCTTAAAATGTGGAATTTGATTCTTGCATTCTTAACATGGATTTTTTTCTCTCATAAAGTCCTTTCTACCTGAAATGAGTCTGTAAGAAAGGTTCACTGTTCACTGGTATTACAAGTACATAACAGGTTCATTTACAGGCTTCAAGCTAGACTTTTAAATAGTATTTAATAAGGGAGTGGATTGTTTCTGTGTCACAAAATGTTTTCCAGGTATCAGTGATGTTTTTCAGTCCACACCAGCATCAAATCCAAGGCTGTAGGAACTGAATGTAAGAAGTCGGAGAGGCCAAATGTGCACCTGACTTACTCTGTAGTTGAAGCATTCACTCAGGGTCAGGGAAAATTGTTGTCCACATTGGTGGATCAGCAGGCAAAGAAAGTCTTAAATCCGTGTCCTTTCCAGAAACAAGCCAAATGCTGCTTTTATGGGCATAATTGTTGAGAAAAGAGTGATGCATGCTTCCACTGGGCAAATCTAAATTGCTGCAGCAGTAGTATCAGTACTTACAAACTCAGACATGCTGTTTGATAAGAACATATCCCAAGCCATCACAAAATGTGGTAACTGTATGACACAGGCTGAGAGTTGTGGCAGGATGTTTCACTCAGTAGGAACTGTGTCTGAAACCTGTGGCTCAAAGTGGTAGAGACACTGCATCCCTGGACACTGTGCAGTTAGAGGTGCAATGTGCCTACTGGCACACCTGCAGTACACTGAGGAAGGTTTGCCATGAGGGTACATTTAAGAAGAAATGGCTGTTAAACAGGTGATGTCTGCCAAGGAACGTAAATACCCTAGAATGACAGAATGTGCGGAGAAGTATACTTATGTAGTATCTGTGCCCAGGTAAACATGATTTGAGAAAAAAGGAAGATCTAAAAAAAAGTGTTTTCACCTGGGATACTGTTTCTACATTATTGTGGATTAAAAAAAACCTACTAAAATATTTTCAGTTTTCAGACCTTACATTATCTTTAGATATGAACATAACATTTGGAAAGAGCTACTCAAACAGTTGAGTAATGTTTCAGCTGGTTTGTTCATGGGTTGAGTGCAAATGGACAGCCAGTGCCTAGGCAGCCAGCAGAGGCAGCCACATCACTGTGCTCAGACTTGCTTAGACCTGAGAGACTGATTTTGATGGAGCAGGCATTGAAGTGCAACCTCACTCTTCTTGATGGCAAACTTGCAGATCTTCAAAGCTGAAGACCTGAAAAGGTCTTGCTGAAGGTGCTCCAAGCGTTGTGTAGGAAAGCAGGTTAGTCTCCCAGCAAATTTTCCAAATTGAAGTGCCTCTTAGGGCCATATTCTGAGCAGTCCATGTCTGAGCAGTCCACTGCAACTGCATGATCTTCTCTGTCCTCCTTTTATTTGCAAATTACTTGGTTAGCATCAGCCCATGCTGCAGCACCCTACTATGAGATGCAGTAAGGAAAATCAAGAAGGAACTTTTGAAAACACTATGTGGAGCAACACTGTGTGTTAGGAAGGTGCGCTGCTCTGCTGTGAACCTAAAGGGATAAAATCACAACAACAAAATGCTGGAAAAGCTCTGTGGAAGGATTGTGAGAAGAAATCCATTGAAAAGCAATCCATTTGCTTTTCAAAATCACAGTACTTCAGTGGAGGAAGCAAACTTAAAATAGAATAAACACCAGGCAAGAGTTTTGTACATAATAATCTGCCACAGGAGACATGAAATCTTCAGCTGTTTAATACTAGTTCTGAGCTAACAGATGATTAATTAACATTAAAAAGTTGCATAGCATGTTTTTTGTTTGTCCTACAAGAAACATCTGCATTTCAAATGTTGGTAATTCAAAGTAGCTCTAAATGATATAGAAGAGCAACATAGTCACTGCAGTATTTAATTTTGCTTTTTTTTTCCTGTCCCTTATGCAAACACAGATTGAGCCAAAAACTGGACCACTAAGTGGTGGAATTCTTTTGACCATAATGGGATCTAATTTGGGAATAAAGGCAGAAGATGTAAAAAATATAACAGTGGCAGACAAGGAATGTCTTTTTAAAGAGGAGTTCTACTCCGTTTCCACAAGGTAATTGATGGATGCTTTTCATGAGATTTTATAAGAAAAAAGGAACCTCTGTGCATTTTCAAGAAAATATTATCTTCTTGTGGTTGCAAAAGGTTACAATTTGAAGAAATAACTATTGCTGTGATATACATGCAATATTTCATAGTAACATTTCTGACTCTTTATTTAAAATTGTTATAGATTGTAATATAGCAACAAATTTACAATGGTGTACTACCATCCTGCTCCTGATTGAAGTTTTTTCCTTACTTGATTGAAAAGCTTTCATAAACTATTACTGCACTTATATCAAGACTACTTGTTTTTAAATTAAAGGCATTCTACATGTGCATCTAGTCATTAAACTTTGCTAAATCTGAACCACAGTGAAGCCAAGCATACAAGATTTATGGGAAAGTAGGCAAAACAAGAGGAAGCTTAAATCTGTTTAGTCCAGCCACAGAGTTTCTTGCCTGGGGACAGGGAGGGAGCACAGAGCTGAGGTTTAGCTGTAGATGACTAAATTTCATCTCAAAGCCAACAAGTCCATGGATGTTGAATTGCCTAAGCAGGTTGGTAGATGTTTTGTGGATTACTTGTCACACTCTTAAGCAGTGCCAAAAATTAAAACAGAATGCCTAAATTCTTCTAGGTAGGTATCTAGGTGTTTACTACAGATTTTATCAAGCTTCTAATTTCAAGAGGGAAATACCCTTTCGATATCAGCTGATGAAAAGCATAGCAGAAAGGTTCAGTAGTGATATTAAGAGTAATTATGGATTTTTCTTTCATTCATATTTGAAAGCTGCAATTGAAACCTTGGCTTTCTTTTCCTTCCTATAATTTAAATTGTAATGCAATAACTTTTTGCTATTCCTGTGGCGTGTTTTGAAAGTGACTTTCAAGATACCTGAGTGATTCTTTTTTAGCTTTTGAAAAATATTTAGCTTTATTCAATGTGTGGATCAGGCATTTAGAAGCTTTCCAGGCCTCTAGGACTGAAGAAGGTAAAGAATAACTGTTTATTTCTTACTGCTTTCCAATTTTATTGCCATTACTCCTGCATTTACATGTATTTCCAACAAGTCATCTTTCCCCATTCCCTATTTTCAGTGTTTGCAAAAGCTACACTGAATTGCAACATAGCCTTACAAGAATTTCCCCATCCTCTTGGCTTTTTCTAAAGCTTTTTGATATTTTTAAATACATGGAAAGGAGCCAGAACTGAGATGACTGGTTCCTTGTATCATAGCAACATTACTGGTTTCCTAAGTTCTGGCAATGTAGTAATGGGTGAGAACAAATGAAACTTGCATCATGTCATTTATCAACAAATTAGTGGGTTTTGAAGGATGTTCCTGGCTAGGGAAGCTTAAAAAAAGAAGTTGTCAAAATCTTCAAATAGATATCTTTAATTTTCTGTATTTGTTTTCCTCTGTTCTTTTTTATTATTATTACCTTCTTTTTTAAAAATTAAATTTAAAAAAATAATTAAAAGTGCCTTGTCTTGCTCCCCTGTCCTTCTGCAGTTAAAAGCTGGTCTTTTTAGGAGACAGTGGCTCCCATGCACAGCAAGATTTAAGACACTTAAGGGTGCTTTCTGGCTCTGGGGTGATTTAATTGTTGGCCTTGGAGAAGTCATTCTTTGTAGTTTTCCATTAGTAATGTGGGGGAAGGGAGGCAATGCCAGCGCTGGGAAGGGGAGGGAGCTTTTCCAATTAAAATCCCTGCTACGATGTTTCCCCCACAGCCCCCGGCCCCGGCCCCCAACTGCTTTCCCTAGCTTGACATATGGTAAAAATTCCTCCAAAGGCTCCATTTCCTGTTTCTGCCTGACATGAAGATACAACTTCCAAGAATACAGTAGAGAGATGATGAGGAACAGGCTCAGGCAGCCATACACATGCCAGGACATGCCGGAATTCCAAGAATTTTGTCCATTTGCCAGTACCCAGGAAAAAAAGTCTGGAGTGATCTGCAGAGGGACTTGACAATCCTTTTATTATAAGTCCTGATTTAAGTACATTATACCCAGTAATTTGGAGTCGTTGAGAGGTTTTTTGCTACTTTGTTTTTTTTTTATGAAATCATGCACTGCTTAAGGAAGAGTAGCAATAATCCTGGAGGGAGAGTGACAGAAATGAGCAGTCAACCTCAGGGTGTGGCCTATATTAAACTGACTGAGCAGGCTGTGAGCACTATATACCTCCTTATCTAACTCTATTATCAGCTCTCCATTAAGCATTTGTCCCAGTTTTCAAGTGTGTCGAATCCTTATTGCCATTCATGCTATCTGTGGTTTACCTGTTTGAAATAACAATTTAAACATCCTAGCTATCACTCAGTAGCAGTGTTAGTTCTAAGGCAGCATTGTCTTGGCCAGTGCTCCTTGACCTCTGATTTTGGATGTGTTATCCCTGAATTTATTTTCAGAGAGCAGTAATTCTGAAGGGATTTTGAGCGTAGGTGTGAAAAGGTTTGAAGCTGAAAGGTAGCAAGATGCACAACAAAATTATCAGCAGTTAAAACACACAAAATTATAAGATAGCTGATGGCCTGATGTTTGCCTCAAGGAGATGGGGCTCTTTTGTGGGTTTGGGTTTTTTTAACATCACGAAGTCCTCAGTAAATCTTGTGTCAGGTTACAGAGGTTCAGCTGACTTATGGGGCTGAATTTGAGATTTCTGAGAAGGCATTTCTACTAACAGGCTGCTAAAGTGGCTGTGTACAGTGCTCAGGTTTCAGTTTTACCAGCCCTTAGATAGACAAGCAAACTATTCTTGGGTGGTTTTGCTGGGAATCCGAGGCAGCACTGGATTACACAGTAGAGGATAAAGAAAAGTTGGTGCTCTTGCTAGCAGTGTGTGTGGTAGCTCACATACATTGCACTGGTATTGCAGCTGTTACTTCTAACAGATAAGCTTACATTCTTGCTTTTTAGGATTGTGTGTCAAGTTGGACCAATGAATGAACTACAACAAGGTCAAATTGAAGTTAACATCAATGGAAAATTAGGTAAATCACCAAGTGAAGTGTTGTTTACATACCAGGTAAGTGCATTTTTCAGAGACCTGTTTTATACTTTGTGTATGACATAAGTTTAAGCACAGAATTGTTTGTGTTTGTCTTACTGTTTCATCAGTAACACTGTCATTGAAAAAAATATTAGAAAACACTTAATTCCAGCATTTCTATATACAAAAGGTTACCAAAAATCAATTCTGATCATTAGATTAAGAGTCTCAAAATAGGATAATGTTGTCTGCCATGCAAGTTAAAAAAATGTTGTAAAAAACCAACTGGAATAAACTTATTCACTAGTGACATAGTATCTCTGAAGTATCACTATTAAATAAAAAAAAGTCAGCACTGCAAAAAATTAGGTATTCTCTAGGTACATGGTGCACTATTTTAATCACGATATTTAGTCTAGGCAATTTTCTTAATTAGAGAATGGGTGCAGAGCAGCTGAAGAATAAGTAATGAAGGTACATTAATTTCTTTAATAATTTATTTCATTCAAAAGTATGGCATGCAGAGCCACAGACAGCATGATGTGTGTTCATATTACTTATGTGCTTTGTTTTCAGTGTGACTATGAAAGAGAATTTCATTTCTGTGTTAATTGCTTTTCTCTAAAAGTGGTCCTAGCTTATAGCTGGTCTAGCCTGTGGTTTTAGCAGCAAGTAGCTTTATCTTTGTCTATTAGGTCTTCAAATTTTATAAGATCATGTGATAGTTGAGAGGTTTAAATAATATCAGTCCCCATACTGATACTTAAAATTACATCTATAAACTATGAAACTATAAAACATAACTTGTGTGTTAGCCTTTTATCTTCTCCCTTATTTAAACTTCTGTCTCATTAATTCTTGATGTCTTGTGAGAAGTAAAGGAAAGGAATCAGCAGTGGAATAAGTCAAGAATGACATTTAACTAAGAGAATATTCTTGTTTTCACAAAGCAGGCTAGAAGTGGGGTTTCTGTAATTTCCAAGCAAATACCTCCTCTCTCTGGTGATACTGCTGCAAAAAAACACTACCCTTTTTGCTTGAATAAGTCATGTGTTCCTTTGTGAAAATGTAGGATATGATCTTAACCAGACAGCAATGATATAATCTCCCATGCGTACGTTTGTGGTCTCTAGGACCTGAAGTTATTATGGAGTGGATTGAAACCTGAACCATGTAGGCTTTGAAGCCTGTATTTGGACTTGTTTTGGTGTAATTCCCTGCTCAGCCCATCTGAGAGGGACATAAGGAGCCACTGCTTTTGACCACTTCAGGGAACAGTTCTTAATTGTCTATCAATGAGGTGCTGGGAGAAGTAGCTGTGCACGAGCATCAACTAGGTAGATGTTTTCCTGCAAGCCCAAGACTCTGTCTGTCAGTCTCTGCCTGCATTGAGATGACTGAAAAGTCAGATGCCTAAGCCAACTGCTGGTAAAGAGCATTTTTCTTTACTGCAAGACTTGCCATGTAGACCTTATTTGCAATATGGAAAGCATTGACAAATAATACAATTCACACCTTAAAACCGGTGGTTTCTAGTTTCATTTCTCTTAATTCCACAAGAAAATTAAGCCAGCTTTGGACTGTAGAATTGAAGTCAGTTTGCACTGAAGTTTGAATTGAAGTCAGGGGTGCACTGATGTGCACCTCTACAAGTGTGACATTAATATTTTGGCATGAGAACAGACAAAAAGAGCAGACAGTTGCACCAGCTAATGTTGGCTTAAAAGCTGCAGTCTTGTTTCAGTGCTTTTTTCAGGCTTCTTTGAGCAGACGTGCAAAATCTATGTCTTGTGTAAAACCTCTTCTACTCAGTATATACAAAGGAAAGAAAATAATTTTCTTTCTGAGAGCCCTCCTAAAATAAATTTTCTCTTATGTATTTTCCTGTTTCTTTGGCACATGGGATGGATACCCTTCTGCTGGTCACTACTACTGTTTTTACTGTGAGCTCTGACCACTTGAAGCAGAATAGTTTCATCTTTAACAGTGACTGTTGTAAATGCAGTGTGTGGCATGGCAGGGCAGAAGTGCACAAGGAGACACTGGAGATGCTCATCCTGATGTGTCTGTGTGTACCAGAGGTATCACCATATACCCCACTGTTTCAGCCTTGTACACGTGATTAGTATCTACCACCAAAAGCACTTATCAAGTAGATTGGGTATAAGAAAGAATTTTTTATATTATGAGAGTGGTGAGTCACTAAAAGAAGTTGCCCAGAAAAGCTGTATCTGCCCCATTATTGGAACTGTTCAAGCCAGGTTGGATGGGACTTCAAGCAACCTGATCTAGGAAAAGGTGTCCCTGTCCATGGCAGGGGTGTGGGACTAGGTGAGCATTGAAGATCCCTTCCATTCCAAATCATTCCGTGATTCTATAAGTAGTACTATGTTTGGCTCTTGTTGATACGCAGTCTGAACAGTGTGATTTATTTTTAAAGGTGGATTGATGAGAATCAATAGTCAGAACAACTTGGGGCTCAGACTCATGCTTCTTTCATGTCTGCCAGCACAGAGCATTTCAGAACTGACAAATGTGCAAGACCTTCATGAAATGGGTCAAAAATCCAGTTAAATTGGAAGTCATGGTTTCAATTTAAAATTATTTCTGAACAAAAATGCCTTGGTCCACAAGTGTCTGTGCTGTACAGTAAATACCTATATTTGCTGCACAACAGGAGAAGAAAGCTTTATGTCTCCCTTCCCATCACAATTTCTCTATCCAGCCTGAGTTCAGTTCAAGTACAGTCCGAATGAAATTAAATTCTGATAACCCAGTCATCCTCTGCAGACATTTCTATTGTTTCACTATAAGTAGGCTCAGGCAATAACCATTCTCCTGTTTAGTGAAATAGAAATGAACTTCTGCTAAATTTTAATATCCAGCTATGCAGTACATCTGGAGCACTGACAGCTTGGCTGGTCTCAGAGCAGGTGGAGCAGTAACATGGCTAAAGGCCAGTCCTGCTTTTTCATTTGTTATTAACTTTATCTGATTTGCTTGTTACTATGGCAGTGAGGAGCAGTCTCAAAGGAAGGAGTTAAGCTTTTCCAATGTGTATGGCCCAGATTGGCTGATCCCATACAAGTGCTGATTCTTTTCTCAGAACACCTCTTCTTTAGACTCAAGGCACCAGGACAAGAGCTTGGGACTGGTTCTGGCATCTCCAGCATTTGTTGGAACAATTTTGTGAGGTTTAGGCTGTGCAGGTTAGAATGACTTTTCAGAAAGCTCAAATAAATCTTAGATGATGAAATTAGAGGTAGAACTTTGCAAAAGTGTTATACATTTCTGAGGTGCTGAAGGTAGTTTAGGAACTGGCTTGGAAAAAATGACTTCTTGTAAACTAGGGTATCTGTTTACCTAAATGAGATGAATAACCAAAAGGAGGAAGAAGGGATGATAAATTAGAGCCTGACCTGAAAACAAATATGAACATCACTATTCATCATACTGGAAGTTTGAATGGGAAATTAACAGCACAGTTACATTTAACAAGATGCTCTCTTCCACCTCAATCCACCCCCAAATGTGGCAGTTTCCTCTTACCTGCATCCATCCTCTGCTTTCCTTCTTGATGTTTGAAGCAATTGCACTGGAAGCTCTCACCAGATCAGTGCCTCAAGGCTTTCCTGAAGGGTTTCAGCTCACTCCTTCATTTTTCACTGAGTCATTGCCTCAATACATTAGTTTTACACTGTAGCTGGGGGCTTTGGGTGGGGTTTTTGTGGGAAAAATTACATGCTTGTTGCCATTATGATTGATGCTAATAAACCACACATACACAGAAGTCTGCAATTGCTTCCAGAGGTTCTTATTTTATTCTTAAGTCTTGCAGTACATGTTGTTTGTGTGTGTCTGCATGGGGGACAGGAGAACTCCTGGATAGCTGAGAGTTTTAGTGAAGTTGGCCCTTATTCATGTGGCTATTATTAGTCTTAACTCTCTATCCTCTGAGCCATGCATTTAAATACCTGTCCCACCATCCAGTACTCATGATTCTGCTCAAGAGCTGCCAGTAAACACTGGATGTATGATAGTGCAGACTTTCCAGTCATGCATGCTCCCATTTCTCCATCAAACCTGTCAGAAGAGCTCTGTGGTCTTTTCAGAAAATCATGTGGTGTCTGCCTCATGACAAAAAGATGCTGCTTTCAGTCCAAAGAATAAGTTGTTTAACATACCAGCTCTTTGCTTAAGTGTCCCATCCACAGCAGCCAACACACAATGCACATTGCCAGGCAAATCAAATGCTCTGCCTGGGCACCTGGAGTGCCTGGAAGCCTTTGATCAGCTTACATGGTGTAAGGTTTGGACAAAGCAGCCCCAGAAAGGCAGGACTCAGTTCCTCATCTCTCTGCTGTTGCAGAAACCCAGGAACTGACTTGTGTTGTGGATGCTGTGACAAGGCGAGCTAGTGGGTCAGGTCAGCCACTGCGGTGAGCACCAGACTGCCAAGAATGCACAGTGGAAATTCTTTGGTTGAATATCCTGTGAGTGGGTGGCTTGTCTGAAGAAACAAGAAACAGGCTCCCTTGAGTCTGAGAACGGGGGGAAGTTGAGGGGGAAAGAACAGATCCTAATGGCTTAAGTTCCCCACTCAGAGGTTTAATTTAGCTCCTGTGGTTACCTTTACAGTCCATGAAATGACTTTTTGACCTCCAAGAAGCTGACTGATCTCTACAGCACTTTATGGGTTATGCCTTTTATTTTTGTGTGCATAATATGCAAGAGTTGGCAGAATAATTTGGCTTTCAGTGTGAGGCAGATAATTTTGGTAAAAAATTACTTCTTCAAGAGCCAGAACTTTCTGCAGCTGGAACCAGCATGAGGAGAGGGAGGAGTCACTTGTGAAGGAAAGATGGCTGTGATAAAGGCAAAGCAAGAACATGGCCTGTACATTTGTGAAAATCTTATCCACATCTGTGTGCGCTGTCATCAGGTCTTGGAAACAGCATCCCTGTTCTCTGCTTGTGTGGAAGCACAAGAGCCCATTCCTGCTTGTGAAGAAGTGCACTTGCATCAAAGGCAAACCC